GGTTCCTGCCGGAAAGCACCGGAATTTGGCAGAAATTCGCCGGAAAAGTCCGGCCGTATTTTTGACCGGAATACTGCTCCCATGTTCCAGCGATTTCCCGTGCTTTCCTGCAGGATATGGTGACTTTCCCGCATATTCCCTGGAGTATCCTACGGGATCCGGTAGCCGGAATGTTCGACCTGAGTTTCTTTTGACTACTATCAGAAGTGATGCGAGTTTGATCGTCTCTTAGTAAGATATCGGATTAGTTGGTTTTCCTTTTATATACGTATAAGAGAAAAAAGATGAGGAGCAGGATCGTATGAAATAGCCAGGGTCAGCAAATTGATTTTCGATTAATTATTGTGCGATCTGTTGGATTCATCACCAATTGTAAGAAAAGAGAATAACTGAAAGAAAATGCTGTGTTCGATGTGTTTACAATGGTCTGAGTAGGAAAGAAGGAGAAGAAGAAAAGCAGTATGTGTGTTCTGAACGTGACCTTTCTATGACCTGATGCATTGTATGCTATTTTCAAACAAATACAATCTATAGCGAACCATACATCAACTTTTCGAACACTACGTTCATCGATGGCACAAATTAGATGTGTAAACAAAATCATTCTGATGAAAACATAGCATTAAATAACCTAGCTTCTCTGAATAATGAAGAAGAAGTATATCGTATAACTTTTTTTTTATAGAATTCAGTTTATTTTATTTGATCGTATATTTAGGTCGTCGAAGAAAACAATCCTATAGTAGTCCGTGCCGTTCCACGTGGTATTTTCATCGACTATATCAAAAGTTTAAATACTAGAACAGAAGAGGAAGCATTTATTACTCCAAATGTAGCAATTCAAATTATTGATTTTGTTAATCTTCTCTATCATCGTACAGCTGTAACAACCGAAGTAATTGCAAAATAACAAACTTTTATTCTTTTGATAACGGATTTTATCTGATAGACAGCCAATGCACTTGTTCATAAATGGTACAAAGTGCCAGTTACTATTGAAAAAGTAACACCCTTCAACCAACGAACAAAAAGCATTCAAGATATAATTAATCATTTAGAGATTGTAAGTGTAACTGCATATCTTCTTCTATTAATTACACTTTCTTATTTGTTATGCTAGGATTGCAATTTGGCAAATTTATTAACAGCCTGATAAATATCAAGAACACAAGCAGTCTTCACTATATTATGACTTTTTTGTGTTTTGTTCATTATAAACTAAAAAAAGAATAAATCATTATTGATTGCTGTGGCAATCAAAAGGAAAATCTTCTATTTCGGAAAATCTCTGAAGACGAAAAGAAATAATCGGAATAGATTTTATGATTAGATACTTGCATTATATAAAGTATATTAAATATATACAGATATTCGGAAAATAATAAGTAACAAAAGTAATAACCAGATGATTATAAATACAATATTAATAAATCGATGAAATAAATAAGAACGAATTATATTTAAGAGAAAAAGAAATATCCAAATTTAACCAAATGTAATATGATAGATTGATAATTGAGGTTGAACAGGACATTCCTTTCGAAATCGAATACCTATGATAATCATTGATATTGGCCAAAATAAAATACATATAAGAGAACATATGAGAGTTTTTCTTGACTTTTCTTCTGTCATTGATATTTGAGATTGACTTTTTATTGAATAAATTTAATCTGTTGTTTTCATTGTTTTATACAAACCTTTTTCATAGTAATTAACAAATAGCATGAAGCAATTAAATGCAAGTTTTATCTTATTTAAATATTCTATTAAAGATTTTTCTCACTGAGACAAAAATATTTACAAATAAATTAATAATTGTTTTACTCATTTTTTTCTAGATAATTGATTTAAGAAATTGAATAAAAAAAGTAAAAAAAGAAATTGAATTAATATAAATTAGTTTAATAATAAGTTTAATCAAGAATAAAAAGTCAATTAAAAATGAAATCTTCTAGTTTTTATGCCTAATTTTTATTTCTTAAAAAAGAAAAAGAAATTATTTTATTCGTTTTTAAGTTAAATTAAAGATCAAATAAAAAAGATTCTTGACCTATTTTTATATTTTAAAATAAAATTCTATGTTAACATTTAAAATTGCGATTATTTAAATTTAATAGATTAATTTCGTTTTCATTATGTTCAAATTGAAAATTCGAGAATTAAAATATTGCAATATTTTAGTTCAATATTAATTACAGAGAAGTTCTTAATGTTCTTCATGAATCATATTCTTAACGGTTTATTTATTATAACTGATGATGAACAAAAACAACAACAAAAGTCTCTCTTTTAACATAATTAAAAACAAAGGAAAACAATTGTTTTATTTAAATGAAAACATTTTTAATGAATTATCAGCACCTCCCGATAGAATTAATTGATCCATTGACCAATCAACGCATAAAACACGATCTTCATGTCCTTGAAGATCATATAGAGGAGCTTTCAATGAACGAGTATCCCATAATTTCACTAATGAATCATATGAACCAGATACAAATAAATATTCCGATTTTCTTGACCACATAACACTTGATACCCATTGACTATGTGATGAAAATGTTGACCGAAGAACATATCCTTCTGAAGAAAAGAAACAAGCAAATGATCATATTTTACTTTGCAAGTAAACAAACAAACCTTGAAGACGTGTATCATAAAGGCGAATAAATCGATCAGTAAAACCACAGACTAATAAACCATTAACTGGTGATATATCAAGCGAAAGAACAGCTTTTCCGCATTTCTAAAAATAAAATAAAATAATATTTATTGTAGAAAAAAAAACCGTACAAAAGTTTGTGTTGATTGTATTGTATCCATATTCCATAGTTTAATTGTTTGATCCCATGAACCTGATACAAGTTCATTTGTAGAAGTCCAGCCAATTGATGATACATTTTCATTATGAGCATTTATTGTCAATCGACATTCCTATTTATTAAAAAAAATCATTCTTTTAATTAATAAAAACATTTTTCAATTAATAAAAATTTTACTTTTGTCGATGATTTTTCTTTTTCTTCTTCTATAAACAAAAGAAATTATTTAAAATAAGAACTAAACAGAAGAAACAAACCTAATCCCCATAATTTAATTGTTTTATCAAAAGAACCAGAACAAAAAACAGACTTTTGTAAAGCTAATGTTTCAATAGTTCCTTGATGTCCTTTGCAAGTAATTAATGATTGAACATTATTTTTATTTTGATCATATTTCCATATTAATATTGTTTGATCATGAGATCCACTTATAAATTCATGTTCACCGTCATCTTACAAAATAGAAAAACAAAAAAAGTTACTTTCGAAAGATTTTTTTATAATCAAACCAGAATAAATAAAAGCAAGCGATCGAACAGGAGCTGTATGTCCTGGAAGACTAATAATATGTTCGCCTTGATTATTCCATAAATGAACTTTTGTATCATAAGAAGCAACTAAAATTGAATCGGCTAATGATCGACAAGCAGACACCCAATCATCGTGCATTAATACATCTTCAGGTTGTGGACCTTGAAATTTTTCTATATATTCAATTGAAATTATTGATTCAAGTAATGATTCATCTTTTTCTCGTATATGTTCTTCTAATGATGAACGAATTAATTTATTTAAACATAGAAAATCAAACGAAAGACGAGATAAATCATTCGATGATACTAAATATTCAAAAAACAAAAAGAATATCAAATTTTATATGAACAAAAAAATCAGTCTTACCTGTTGGTTTTAATAATCCTTTCAAAATAGCTTCTAATTGAGAATTTGTTGATGAACAAGGAATAACCAATGTTGTATCAGGAACAGAATATCTTTAAAACAAAAACAAGCAAATAGAAAAGGTTTTCTTCGAAAAATGATAATTACTTTTCTAATCTTGTAATAAATTGAACTTGAATAGACATCTGAAATAAACAAACAAACAAACAAACACAAATAGAATGAATATTTATTTATTTAATAGATATTGATATTATTTTAATATCATCTAAAGGCTTATCAAGTCGATCTGTTTTAGCTTGAGAGATCTTTTCTACAACGTCCATTCCTTTTGAAACTCTTCCAAAAATAGTATGTTTATTATCAAGCCATGGAGATGGAACAACAGTTATAAAAAATTGTGAACCATTTGTATTTGGTCCTGCATTTGCCATTGAAAGTGTATATGGACGATCATGTTTTAATTGTGGATGAAATTCATCTTGAAAATCTTTTCCCCATATTGATTGACCACCTGTTCCATTACCCAATGGATCACCTTTAATTCATTAAACAAAGAAAATACTGTTTTTACTAAAAATATTTTATAAGAAAGAAAAACCTGTTTGAATCATAAATTGTTTAATTACACGATGAAATATACAACCATTATAATAAGATTGTTTTGAATGTTGAATAAAATTTTCACAAGTTTTTTGAACATATTCTGGAAATAAACGAACGTGAATATCACCACATGTTGTATGAATTATTGCTGATTGAGATAATGATGATAAAGCTTGTTCTTCTGTTGCCGTTAAAATTTCTTCACGAGTTGGCTTTTCATTATAAACATCCCGATCATTCTCATGTTCACTTCGATTGTCTAAAATCAAACAAATAGCATAGAAATTTAATGTTTATCTGTTAGTTTTGTTTAAATTTTCATTTCAATAGTAAATAAAAATCAATACAATAAACGAATAGTTTACCTTGTGGATTATTTTTTGTAAATAAGTAAAATCTATTTTTTTTATAAGCAGTTGTAAAAAGAATAGTTGAATTTATTTGATTATTTGATGATTTATTATATTGATAAAGTGCTAAACGTATAAATCGTGCATTTTCAGTTGTACCAAAAAAATGTCGAATAGAATTATTACGTAAATTTAACATTTTAATTCCATATAAAGTTGAATAAAAAAGATAAGTTCCTGATGAATCAAATTGAAGATTGATTAATGAATAAATAGAAGAGTTTTTTTCTAAATCTTTTTCAATTGTTAACCGTCTTGAATATTCAACATTATTTAATATATTCATATTTGATTTTTTTTCTTCATTTTCTTGTTGTTTTATTTGTAAACGTTCATGTAATTGTTTGTAAACATCAAGATGTTCATCAAATATTTTAATTATTTTTCCTTTTACTGTATTGAAAAGAAATAATTTTCTTTCCGTTGATGATTTACCCATCAGAGCAAATAATTGACCATTGGGACTAAATTCTAATGCTAATGGAATTAATTTTCTTTTAACTAATTCAAATAAATCTGTATCTAATTTTGAATTAAATAAAATTTCATTTGGTAAACTCTCAATATTAGTTGGTGACCAATAATTAATAATTGATGATTGATCGCATGATATAGCTATATCATATTTATCACAATATGAGATTATTGATATTGATGAAGCATGACCGAGATTTGATAATATTGATATCGGTTCTTTTATATTTAATGTTCGACCATCATAAATATAGATTTTAGATGATTGACTATCAGAAACAGCTAATCTTGACAAAGCTTGTCGTGATGAATCAACAAATGAACAAGTTAATGGAATAAAATCTAATTTAACCATTGTTATCATATCAAATGATAATACATCAAACATTTTTAACGTTCGATCAGAACATGTTGAACATAATAATGTTCCGGATACATTTGCACACATCGTTAATATTGGACCTTAAATAAATTGAAATAGTTTTTCCCCCTATATTACAAATTTCTTCTATTAAAACTATTGTCCTTATTATAACTTAATTTATTGAATTATCTTAAATAAGATTGCATATAGTGTAAAACAGAAACTTCTTGGTTTTCATCTTCTGCCGAGCAATAACAACTAATATTTATTTTCAGAAGAGAATAAAAATCATTTTCTACTAAAAATAAGAAAAAGAATATTTACCTAAATGAGCACGAAAATGTTTAACAAACTGAATTGGAAGAGAAGATATAGTGTTGGCTTCTTCTTGTTGATCCTCATTTATTTTTGATGATTGTATTGCTGCTGCTGCTGTTTGTTGTTGTTTAATATAATCAGATGTTAATATTTTCCAAAATTTAATATGACCATCTTGTGAACCACTTATTAAAAAATCAGTTACTGTTACAATGATATGTGTAACAACATCCCTATGCATATAAGATCTTTCATAATATTGACTTGATGGTAAAAACGATGCATAGAAATTATCCAATTGTGTTGAACCTTGAATTTTTTCTTTTGTATTTAACTCATCAACTGAATTTGATGAAAATTCACTAATTAATTCTTTTTCAACGTGTTCTTCATCTCGACGAATTCGTTTCGATGTTGTTGAAGAAGAACTATGGGCATGATCAGATTGATTTCTGTGACGATCATTATTTCTATCATCATCTTCATGTTCTCGACGAATTTTTTGCGACATTCTCCTGTTATTTTTTAATTAATTATTCAATTGAAGCAGACAAAGCGAAAGGAAAATTTCAAAAGAATATTGCAATGAACTATTCTTTACTTCATCTAATCAGATAAATTCAACATAAAACTAACGATAGAGGACACTATTTTATCAACATTATTCTTTTCAGAACACAAAATCGTCAAATTACAATAATTTCAGAGATTTACATCGTGACTGAGTTCATCGCCATTGCGATGGGACGAGTATAAAACGAAAGCTAAAGGTGGAAATTTTTTTTCGAAAACCCGCGTTAATCACAGGTATGGTAACCTTCTGGTGCAGTGTAATGAGCTCTCTCTAGCTCTAGTTTCCGGAAAATACCCTTGCAGAATTTACATATATTACGTATGTGATGAGCACGGCTTTTGAAAGCATCGTAACAAAAATTTTATTTGGTTTTTGTGGCTCGCTTATATTATATAGAATGAACCTTCTACGATATGAATCAACTCTCTTGAAATAGTCTGCATTATAGATCTTCCATTTTAATTAATTTATTAAAGAAGTAATACATTTTTTTATAGTTTCACTTTAAGTTGCTCATCAACAAAAGCAGAGTTAAAACGTAACTAAAATCAGTGGTAATTTTTGTCGATTAATGCCCTGAATTTCTATCACAAAACGATCAATATGAATTATATACACTCTTTCATTATGCTAGATCGAGTATCTTCTGTTATACAGATTCAAAAGAAAAATGATAATTAATAGATGAATTTCAAACGACTTGAGATTATTTTGCAACTAAATTAAAACTCAGCACGATTTCAATTGGTAATAGTCTCTATTTTCGAAACGTCAGTTACAAGTGGGCAAACCGCCTTTTTTCTTTAAAAAAAGCTTTTCGTGGGTACCGTACTGCGGTGGTCTTTGGAAAAATTTGCCGTTAGGATGCCGTCATGAACATCTCTGAAATAGTCCAATAGTTCGATAGATTATATGTATGTATTCCAAATAAAAATAGTCTAGTCAAATATAATAACTTTATTTTTTTGAACAAGATTGAGTCTTCTTAAATATTCTGTCTTCTAAATAGAAACTCGTTGTAACTTATTGCTGTCAATGTTGTAAGATTTTAATTTTTGTTGACTCGTTTTAAACGATTACCAAAAAAATATTTAATAGATGAATAAAAAATTTGAGCCCATCAATTAGTCTTAACATCTGATGAACTTTGTTTTATATGTATCAATTTCTATGTCATTTTATTCGAAACATTTAACTACTCGATTCGAATTAATTATTATTTAAATGGTTCAGTTCATGATGATATCATAGTGATTCGATCAAATCCAAGTAAAACTCATTCATAATACTATCAAACATTTTATTTTCCGTTTCAATATATGTATTTTAGCAAATTTTCTTTCTACATTAAATACGAAATAAATCCTATAAAGAAGAAACTTTGGATCAAATTTTAAAAATCGAACATTTTAATCGAATTTCATAAAAATGAATTTATCGATATATTTTATTGGTTGTGTTAGGGATCCCTGTGCCTTTCTGACATTAATAACGAATAAGTACCATAACGATTGAACTAACTTTATCATTGAAGAAAGAGGAGAACGTAGAGAGAATGTGTCAGGGAATGAGTATACAAATGTCGATGAGTCAAGGAATAAACATATGATTGTACCAGATTGTTAATAGGATATTATGAGAACAAAATGAATTCTAAATTAAATTTATTGTCGACTTTTTACAAACTGAAAATAAATGTTTGCTTGATTTTTAGAAAAATAATCTATTAATGAAAAATAATCATCTAAAGAAAATCATATTTCTATTGTAAAAATGAATTACATATAGATTTAATCTTAAATTAGAATTCATTGAAATATTTAATAAAATGAAAATACTTCATGGAAAACTTCTCGTTTTATTCTTTCGATAAATTTCATTGAGAACATAATTTTTAATTTATTCTAATTTTCAAATAATTAAAGAGAAACTTGTTTAAAAATCGTAAAATAAAGATTTATTAGACACTGAAAATAAGAATAAATAAAAAAAATGAAGCTTTCATTTTTATCACAATAATTCATTGTAATTACTTAAATTCTCTTAATTGAACACAACATTGAAATAATTTAACATTTGTCGGTCATTTTAGTTTTTTTTTCTTTTTCTAAGAAAAAATATCTTCCATTAAATCAAAAACCTATTTCAATTGTTGAAAACATTTACAAAAAGTTTAACTATAACAAATTTCGGAATTAAACACCGTCTAATTAATGATTAAGTTCTACTTTCGAATCGTTTTACGGCTTTTCCAAGTAAAATCAGTCGAATATTGTTTTGGTACTATTTTTAAATAATCTTCGTCAATAATTTGTTTGAGAATGATCACTTTTCGTCTCCTCCTTCTCCTCCCCCTTTTTCTCTCCCTTGACAAACATTGTCGACTCGCTAGTGAAGGTTGATGTTTTTTTTATCAGTGTCAAGAAAAGAAAATATGAAACTCTTTTCAGTTTAATTGCATCTTTGAAAAGATGTGGAAGTCTTTTTTCTTCTTCAAACAAAAAAAATGACTGAGAATTGTTAGGTTGTTATTGACAGCGATGTTTTTGTTGTTGTTTAAAAGTCTATAGACGTTGATGGTGAGCATGTTCTTTATGTTATTGACTTCGTATTTGAATAGGATGCCAAAGAAATCGACCGAGAAAGAAAAGGACAAGCACGAACAGTTTCTTTTTTTCTTCGTCTCTTCTCCCCGACTTTTTTATCGCATATATTTCACATTTATTCATTCTCACCTTCTATCAAGCAACAACATCAACTTCAACATTAGTAACAAGTCAAATGTGTATTTCTCTTTGTTTCTGAATCAATCATTATGGAAACATTGATGCATTTCTAATAATTAATATGATTGATTAATTGTGAGTAGTTATGTCGATGACCGCATTTTGACCTTAGCTTTTCGCTCTTTTTTTTTATTCTCATGAACAGATGTCTTCGAGACAGATTAATATTTTTTTTCAATTAGGAATATTTGTTTAAAAAGAAGGAGTAAAAAAATTTTTTTTTGTTTTTTACGACGCCATAGTTGGTTGTCAACAAGAAAAAAAAGAAAAGAAAAATTTCTTTAAGATTTCTTTTAATTAAACAAAAAATCGAACTATGTCAGCTGTATTTTTTATATTGATAATGTTTCAATGAATACTCTATTAGATTGATGGCTGAAGAACATCATTCACCATCAACATCTGATCATCCCAATGTCTCTTTACCTGAGACAAAAACATCAAACCATTCAAAAAAAAATGAACTTCAAAAAGAAAATACTCTTTATTCCGAACCTCAACCTAAATGTTATATTGGCGCTGGAAATAATGCAGAATTGTAAGCTAATCGATTTTTCTATAAAAGATCAAAAAATTAACTGTTTGAATAGAATTGAAAGCATTTTAACATCGATTGGATATGAACGTCAATCAGAAAGAACAGATGATTTTAAATTCAAATGGGTTCAATGTAATCAAAGTGTTAACTGGAATGTATTTAAAGATGGCGAACAAATGGTTAATCATATTCAAGGAGAAGATTATTTTACAACTAAATTACAATTATGGCAATCATTACAAACATATGAAAAAATTTCAATGACAATGCAAAAACGTTCACAACAATTTTTATCCCTCAATCAATTTGTTCCAGAAACATTTAAATTAGATGAGAAAAATGATCGAGACGCATTTTTTAATACACATAAACGTTTGTTGATTTGAATTCTACTGGTTTATTTTAAATATATCATTTTTTTTTCCTTTACAGCTGGTGATGTTTGGATTTGTAAACCAAGCGGACTTAATCAAGGTTTTTTAATTAATATTGAAAGAAATTCTTTCTTATTTGTTTTGTTTTTTATTTTAAAATAGGAAAAGGAATTTATCTTGTTCGAGATATTGAAGGTTTGAAAAGTAAATTTGCTGAAATTGATGCTATGGATAAGAAAAAACAAATATCAATTAAACCAATGAAAAGAGTTATTCAACGGTTTGTTTTTTTGATTTATAATTTCAATTAAGAAAATAAAAAACAAAATGTTTTTTTCATTCAATAGTTATATTATGAATCCATTGTTAGTACATGGAAAAAAATTTGATATTCGATGTTATATGCTTATATCGAGTGTTAAACCACTACTCATTTTCTATCATTCCGGTTATCTTAGACTTTCCATGTTTGATTTTGATAATAAAGATGAAAATCTTCTTACACATTTGACTAATCAGGTTTTGTTTTCTTAAGAAAAATTTCATTAGAAAACTTTTATTTGTTTCTATTTATTTATTTAATTAAATAATTAGTATATGCAAAAAAAAGATCCGAAATATTATGATGTCAAAGAAGAAACAGCATGGACGATGGAACAATTCAAGTATGCTTATTTAAATATATTCATTCGATTTTATTTTATTTTATTTATATATTTAGTGATTATATTAATAAAAATGTGGCATCAAATAAAAATCTTGAACAAGATTGGGTTTTAAATGTTTTGCCAGTAAGTTAAAATATTTCATTAAGGAATTTTGAAAAGAAAAATTAAATGAATTTTTTTCTGAAGAAAATCATTCAACGCATTATGTTAAATGTAATTGAAAGTATTCGTATGAGATTAAAAAGACGTGTTGGCTGCTTTGGTCTGTATGGTTATGATTTTATGATTGATCAAGATATGAAAGTTTGGCTAATTGAAATAAATGTTAATCCAGCATTAACAACAAATACAAATACACTTGTTCAAGCTATTCCACCTGTTGTTAAAGAATCTATTTGTAAGTTTTCGTCTTCTTCTTATATTTCTTTATTATACTTTATATTTCTTTTCTTGAAAACAAAAAAAAAGTATTATCAATTGAATGCTTTGATAAAATTCGTCATGGACAAAAAATTTTTCCAATAAAATCTTTAAAAGGATATAAATGCATTTATAATGAATTAGAACGAAAAGGTTCGTTACCTTATATTGAACAAAGGCGAGCAACATCATCTTCGCCCAATGTTCGAAAGCCTGCTCCCATTGTTGCTCCACCAATAGTGCCAGTGCCTAAAGCAAATTCGAATAGTTCTCCACCGAATTCTCCAAAAAGCTTCCATAAAGCAAATGAACAACAACAGCAACAACAACAGTCAATAACTGCAACACAAAAATATATTATATCGAGTACAAGTCGTTCCAATATCGATCGTCCAAAAGTAAATCGTTCATCAGATTCGTTATTATCCCCATTAACAACAACAAATCATTCATTTCCAGCAGTTAATCCTTCATCTAATGAAACAATGGTGATGAGATATCAAACTATTCAGAGATATAAAACAAACTTTGAAATCTTGAAACCAGCAACTGTCATTGCTGAAGAATGGAAAAATTTAGATCGAACACAAAAAGATCGCTTGGCAATCGGAGGACCTAAAGCTCTCGTACTTGTTTCGAAATCTTCAACTCCTACAAAGCATATTCAAACAGTTCAAACATAGGGACACGGGGCAGTTGCATCAACTTCTTCTTATCAAAAAGATCATAATTGGCTAGTTACTGGAAGACAACTTACTGTTGTGGACACAAAAACACTTGGTTTGTTACCTTAGAATTTTGATTCGTTTTTTGATTTTTTTAATATCAGGAACTTGGCTGAAACAAAGACAACAACAACAAAAAGACAAAGACAAAGATGATGAAAACGGCAATGAAAGAAATAATCAAATTGAAAAATCATCAAATTGTTCATCGGCAAATTCATCTGAATCATCATCCATAACAGCTACTGGTGTTGATATTCAATCATCTAATTTATCGGCAAATTTACAGAAATCAAATAAAAATCGTTCACATTCCGCAACATTACGTGGTCATAGTTTATTACCTGAAAAACCTTCAATAATTAAAGAAATAGTTCATCGAACGCATCCATGGGAATATGATGATTATAATTCTCAGCAAGATTCAATAGAACCACTAACTAAATCAGCTCTTATTTATCGTCTAATGCGTTCAAGACTTGAAGCCAATTTAGCTAAATCCATATCAGCCAATAGAGATCGATCAAATAAGAAGAAGAAATTGTCTTCATCTACAACAACATGATGTGACTGTCCGAAGATTTTCAATCCAATTTTATATAGGAACCTTTTTTTTCATATTCAAATTTTAACCTTTTTTAATTAAATACCATTTTGTAGATAACATTTATATATTAAATTAATTAAAAAGATCTGCATTAGTTGGTTAGATTTCATCCAAAAACTAATATATTATAGAAGTAATAAAGAAAAATATTGTTTTGCATTTAATATTAGAAAACAAAAATTTACATTGAAGGAAAATATGAATTAAAGTTTTTTGGCCGAACAAATGATATATCTGTTCTTAAATATTTTATTTTCGTACAATTTCGTCGTGTTTCGTCATTCGTAAAATAACCTGTTATGTGTGTTAATGTATCATATGTAGTAATAAGTTTTTCTAAAGATGGTAAATAAGTTATGTTTTCATTGAGAAATTGTATAGCATAGTCTGAATGTGCATCTATAATATTGAGTGTAATTAAATTATTAAATGTAATTAATGCTGATGAACATTCTTGACTTTCTTGTGATTCTAAATTATGTATAATTAATGTTTTAAGATTAGTAAAATCTTGAGAAATAATTTTGAATAATTTATTTTCAAACGGAATTCTATCAACCATGAATAATATTTTAACATTATTAAATTTTCCACCTTGAAAACAATTACTCATAAATAAAAATTCATCAAATAAATATGGAAGAGAATAAACATGACAATTTGCTCTATAATCGGTGAGTTTTTCATCTGCACATATATCAATAGATTTATATCCAATATTAATAAAACTATTTCGAATATCATTATTACTGAGAATATTATTCTCTATACCACTAATTATATAACTATGTATATTAAAATTAAATTTATTTAATTTTGTCAAATATTTAAGAAAATCATTAAATAATTGATAACCATCAATATAAGTTGATCGAAGTCTTCTTACAGAAATTTGTAATGATAATTCTTCAAGATTTGACATACGACGCAATAACGGAACAATTGATGATTCATAAGAACATGTACATTGTTCGCATATTAATGAAAAAGATTTTAATTTAATTAATTTTTCCTAAAGAAAATAATATCGTTTTAATATTTAAAAGATAAATTTAATAAATTTACCTTTTTATTTATATTTGATAATGAACGAGTTATCATTTCAATACGAATAACTAACTTTGATAATGATTGAAAACGTCCATCAAGAAGATAAAGACAATCATCGAAGTTACTAACGTATATTGATAAATTATTAAGAGTTGAAGATAAACATTCTTTATTTTGATTATTCCAAGAGAAAAATGTTAAATTACTTTCAGAAGATACTTGATAAAATTTTAAATCAGTTAAATATTTACCAAAAAATAATATTGCTTCAAATATCATCGGGCTATTTTCACGAGTGATTTCTTTCTTAATATTAAGATCTATAGTTAAATGAGTAATTTTATTCATCAGAAGATCAGATATTGGACCATCTAAAATATAAATTATGTAAAAAAGAAAATATGAAATTTATTATCTTACTAATTAGATCGCTTGAAATAGTATCTATTTGATAACCGAGCAATGATAGTGAATATAATTGAGGAAAATCAATGGCATTCACCATACGTTTCAGAGAATATGGATCAATAGTGAGTTTTCTTATTTTCGTATTTATTCGAGGTAAAATTTTTAAACAAATTTTATCGAGAATATAATCGTGCTGAGACTTACCATTAATATATTTTTGATGAAAAATACTTGGAATATTATCAATATCGAGAAAATCGAATATTAATTGATCAAATCGTTGATTTACTCCAACCAATGAATAAAATACGTCGATTACATTCAGTTTATTGAAAATATAAAGTAAGATTTCATTTGGTAGTTGAACTATACTAGTACAATCCATATTTTAAATGTTTACAGTCAATGATTGAACTTCATCTTCGACTGTCTCTGTCTCTATCTTTCCGTATTTATGTGTTTATTATTATGCTCGCTGCCGTCGGCGAGAAGAATAAAATTCAGTCTCAGTTATTTATGTGATAATTAATGCCATATGTTATTTTTCAGCCTGAAATTTTTCTCACTTTTAATATAAATGGAAATTAGAATGGCATGCATTTAATGTAATATCTAAAAATATAGCAATCCATATCTAAATTAATACAGTAGTATCTAATTCGGTGAAACAACACCTTTTAAAAAAATGTTTGATCTAATTTTGTAGTCAAACATCTTTTAAATCAATTACATGTCTGAATTAAAAGATGTTCTATCTTTTAATTTAACATATTATCAATTTTAACAAATGATTATCAATCAATTAATCGACTTATCTAATTAATTTGAACGTAATCTATAATTGAGAAGTACTTATCAATTAATTGAAAGAGTATAGATGAGCTAGGAATGACGATAAGTGATAGAAACAAGTTAGTTTAAAAAAATATTAAAAAAAAATACCATTAAAAAATGGCAGAAGCATTATCAGTTGATGATAAAACTGATGCAATAGACTCTAAACCAACATTAATTGTGTATTAGTTTTCTTTTTTTACCCTGTTTTTTTTTGTTATAATTGATAATTGTATCTTTATTTTTTTCTATTACTTTAATTATTAATTAGATATAACTTTGTGTTGTTAGGTAGTGTTGCTTAATAAATTACATACAAATTTATTTTAAAATTAGATATGGATTGCTATATTTTTAGGTATTAGTTTATATTTATCCAAATTAGAATACAAAAAAAGAATAACAATAAATGGAAGTATCTTGTGGTTCATATTATGAAAATAGTTTGCCATGTTATTGTATTCACATCCCAGGTGAATGAATCCGATACCGAATCCCATGGGATTCTATGGGGTCCTACCATCCGACGAAATCCTGTTGGATTCCTGGTTGAGGAATCAATGTCGGATCCGACAGTCATTTTTCCAATGATATCCAATTGTCGGAACCAATGAAATCCAAAGCATTCCGGTTCTGATTGACGGTTACTGTCGGATTTTATTAGTTTCCGATATTAGGATCCTATATCGATTCCGGAACCAGGAATCCGACGATAATCCGATAGTTTCCTTGCGCCTTCCGAAGAGCTCCGTCGGATTCCAATAGGAACCGATGGGAATTCATTGGATCCTAGGCTAGGATTCCTTCTCCTGGGATTTCGTCCACATTTTTTTTTAAAATTTTGTTCAGGTTCTGCATTTAATTCGTCCTGATTGTGATCCTTTTTATAATAAAATCAGCAAGATATTTATTGATTTTTTTTTCTAGAATATATTTACATCGTTGTCATATTGTCGTGCTTGTGCATCATACCATAAATAGGAACCTTCAACTTTTGATTGAAATTCATCTTGAAATGATTTATCATCTCTCATTCTTAATAAAACAAATCTTTATTAGTTCTTTTTTCATAAAAAAAAATTGCTTCTACTTTTTGAAGAATTCTTCGATACATTTCATTGTATTTTTTTCATTTTCCCCTAATTCTACAATATTTTCTAATAATTGTACCACACGTGCTACATGTTCGACGAGGACGAATTTCTAAAACATTTTTTTGTTTAGAAGAAATTTTGAATGAAAGTAATTTTCTTACTCCACGCAAATCTATCATAATGCCAAATGCCCGTATACACTTGACAGCAGTTGGTGAAATTAACCCCGAATTCTGATTTAAAAATAACTTCTGATCGTCGTTCGTTTTCATCATTGCCATTTCTTTTATTTTTTCTTTGTATGTCATAAGAAAAGATTCCTAGAAAAACAACGATGTTAAATTAAAGATTATTGAAACAATTATAATAAAACAAACACATTCTTGACGATCCAAATTTTCGTTAGTTGATAATAATATCGTAATCGTATCACGAATTTCATCAGACGAATCATCTTCACCCCATTCTGCAAAAGAAAAAACCTGTTCATATATAAATAACACAGCAGCATACATAATACTTACTTATGCTGTTTTTAATGTCAATAAAATGTTGCTCGACCTTATCATTCAAATAATCTACAGTCATATTATATTTTGTACCTTGATTAAATTTACCATCGGCTCTATCAGCATTTTTTTTGTTTTGCTAATTCTATCTTAAACAAATTATTTTACTAAGATAAAATAATACACCATTTGTAAATTTTTCAAGAAGCAAAATTTTACTTGAGAATAAGCCATACTTAATGACGACGTCAATGCTGATATCGGTGTATGATTCTATTTTATGTTATCTAAAACGTTCTTAGTAGATTGTTATTTAGTAGTGTTTACAAGCGAAATCGACCGATTTGATGGTTCAAGAAAAGAGAGCACACTGAAAAAAAAAGTACTCTATGAAACTTAAAAAGGTTCCGAGATTTGCAACGAATTCGAAATCCTTTTGCAATGTCGTACGGAACCTTCAAAGTTCCGTATAGTCTCACGAAACCTGTGTCGGAGTCTCCGATATCTTTAAGGGTTTTGTGAGACTTTA